GACCAGGGCTTGAACCCGCGTCCCCTGCATTGGCAAGTGGATTCTTAAGCACTGTGCCACCAGGGAAGTCCAAGGTTGCCTTTTATTCCTTTGGGAACTCTTCTACCTTTGCAATAGCTTCCAAACTACGACCAGAGTGATCTTTCTAAATGCAGATTGCATTGTGCAAGTCTCTTGCTTTAAAACCTTCCGTGGACTCCCACTAGTGTCAGGATAATGACCAAGCAGTATTCTTAACACTGCTTGTGTGATCTGCCCTGTGGCCTCTGATAGGCCCTGCTTCTTTCTGCTTTAGGACCTTTGCCCGGACTGTTGGCTCTGCCCAGGATGCCTCCCAGAATCCCTTTCCCCACCCCTTACCCAGTTGATAATTATCTTCCAGAGATCCGCTCAGATGTCACATCCTCAAGGAAGCCCCTTTTCTGATCACACAGGGTGGGCCAAGTTTCCTCCTATGTAAAACGGTAATAAATCATAAATAGTACTAAAACAACAACAATAATAACAACTAACACCATGTGACAGGCACCTTCTGAGAATTCCAATTTGTTTAATCCTCACAACAACTCTATGAGGTGGGTATTACTATTTTTAAGATGAGGAAGCTGCGCTTAGAGCCCCTTGCACTTATCACAATTATGATTAAAGAATGAATTCTACAGGCACTGGCAGTGGGCCAGGATGGGACTGAAGGGCAGCCTTTTGTTTAGAAGGGAAGGGCTAGGAGCTGGTCTTGAGGCTGTGTTTGCATAGCAGATCACGCTGTGCTCTGGGCTGCATGCTTACTTGGGATTGCTTTGAGAGAGATGAATGATGATTGTGAAGGCTAAAATACTCTCAAGCCACTCGTTGCTGTCCACTGTGGCCCCCTACAAGCCCTGTGAAAGGAAAAACTCATGTATCAATTACTGTATCCTAGGAACCCCGCTCCAGGTCTTGCATAAAGTAGTTCTTCAAGAAAGATTTATCTCATGAATCAGTGAAAAAAAAAATCTCCACAATTTTGGAGGTATTTTTGACCAAGCTATATCGAATTCTGCCCTAATTGTGCAACATTGATGGTGATGGTTAGTCCTCAGGGATTTCATTTGATCTGGGGCTGAATGATGGATGCCCAGGACTTGAGGGGACACGTGTGGACCCTGGTTAGGGAACAGGTGGGCCAAGGGAGCAGATCTGAGACCTCAGGAGTGCTGGTTCTTATAGTGAGGCAAGGCTGGGAGGAGCATTGTGCCCTGAGTGGAAGCAGACAGAGCAGAGTTGCATGCTCTTTGCACAGGTGATCACAAAGGCTAATTTGGTGGAAGGGAATGTGTTGCCTTGATAGTTTTAGGGTCGTGGGTGTGGGGGGCTGAGATGAATATAATTCATCATATGATGATTTGATTCCATGGTGCCAACAGGCTCAGAAAATTGTAGATGGTCACAAAGGGACCTTGAAGGTGATCACTCTCAATTCAGTAGAAAAAGGCTCCCAACCCCACACAGCACTACCCTTAGGGCTTGTGCTAAATGTCATTATATCTCTAATGGGGTGTGAGCAGCCCTAAGAGCTACATGCTTGGAGAGCAACTCTAGCCCTTTTTTCCTACTATTCTGCTTCCTATGGCCCCACCAAATTGGCCCAGCGCTGAATCCATTTCTGGGTTCCAAGGAGGGGAAAGGCAGGAGGCTGGCCTGGATTTCCCTGGGCTCGTGGGAAAAGGTAAGAGCCTTGAGTTAAGAAGGAACCCACATCCCAGGCACAGGAAAAAATGCAAGAAGACAAGAGGATAAAGAGGTCTGGCTGGCTAGAAGACATGCTTCATGTAAGGGAAACTTAAAATATAAAATAGAATTAATAAACAAAATGTAAAAACAAATGTTATTTATACAAAAAGAAAGTTATAATCCAGTGATACAATTTATATAAAATATATGTAGTAAGTTGTAAATAATATGTAGTAAAAATAGTAAATAATAAATAACAGTAATATTCAGGGGTTGAGTCATCCTTTAACTCATTTTAACTCACCTTTAAAATGGTGTTCATTTCACTAAACATTGTAGAATGGAGCAGATTATAATTAGATAGTTTCTGAGGAGAGCTAATTTAGTGAGTTGATCTCCAAACAATAAGGGAATTTATCTTAAGATTTTTAATTGTCATGTTTGGAATGTCTGAAAACTATCAAGGTAAAAGTGTCCTTTAATTTTGGATTATTTTAAGTTTTAGGATTCTTATTGTACATTCACCTAGTTATTGGGAGCATTTAAAAATATTAGACTTTCCAAAAGATTAAGGTTTTTTTTCACCTCTCTGTAGTAATAAATATTCTTATGCCATCTTAATGCTCAAGTGTCCATCTCTGTTAGTGTTTGTGTTAGGCAATAAGAACCTGGAATTTATAACCTAGTTTCTGAAAGGAATCTGTAGCAGTGGTAGGTTGCTAAGAAAGTCTCTTAGCTAATGGAACAACGTGCCTTGAATTATTCTGATCCTTTTTACTGCCAGTTGTAATGGATCAATTGAAAACGATGCTCATTTTTAGATTTGTCAAAACTTAAATTAGAAATAAATGAAAGTATAGATAATACTATTTTCAGTAATTAAAAAAAGAAAGCAAGAAATAAGTATAAATGTATGAAAAATGTTTGAAACAATCTGTTCGGTAACAGTGGAATTCTCAGCAAATTATGATATATCTATGTGAATTACTATAGTATGAGGGTTTGGATACAATGTAACAAATACTATATATTAGTTAGATTGGAAATCATAGATCTCTCTTTTATACAAATCAGCAGAAATAGGCACAGCTTTACACATTCTTTTCATAAGTGTTTTTACACTGTATTGCTTTTCAAAATGAAACTTAGAAGAGAGCCTGTTTAAGATTATCCAAATTGGAATTAATTTTACTGCTTGGGTGTGTTAGAAAATGGGAGCTAGACCTTCTAATGAGAGTTGTAAAGCATAGTCATGGAGCACATCCCAGACTTTTCAAATAATTTACTTCTCTGTTTAGAGTTACAACAATGATTGAAAACAAAGGCTGGGGTGCGGACTGTGAGATTGAATGAACATATAGCCAAGGAGTGATTTCAAGCCTGACAACTTCATCCAATTACATATTTCCAATTATCCTAATCCTAAAGCTCCTGTAAAAATCTGTTTTCCATTTCCTTATAATTTTCATCCTTTCTATATGTTATTTTTCTATCTATTTTTCAGAAATTCACTCCTTGAATAGAAAATCGTCTTTCTGTAGATGCCCAAGACGTAGTTGATTTTAACTTCACTAAAGGACAAGTCAACTAATATTTGTGGCTTAGCCTCTGCAACTTTATTTTATCAGTTTTTAAAAATTGAAATATAGTTAATTGATTTATAATATTGTGATAGTTTCAGGTATACAGCAAAGTGATTCAATGTTTTATATATATATATATAGATAGATAATGTTTATATTTTTTTTCAGATTCTTTTCCATTATAGGTTATTACAAGATATTGAATATAAGTTCCCTGTGCTATACAGTAAATCCTTGTTGTTTATGTATTTTATATATATCAATAGTAGTGTGTATCTGTTAATCGCATACTAATTTATCCCTCCCTCCTTTCCCTTTGGTAATCATAGTTTGTTTTCTATGTCTGTGAATCTGTTTTGTAAATAAGTTCATTTGTATTATTTTTTTAGATTCCACATATAAGTGATATCATAAAATATTTGTCTTCCTCTGTCTGACTTACTTCACTTAGTATGATAATCTCTAGGTCCATCCATGTTGCTGCAAATGGCAACATTTCATTCTTTTTTATGGCTGAGAAATATTCCATTGTATATATATACTGCATCTTCTTTATCCATTCCTCTGTTGATGGACACTTAGGTTGCTTTCTTGTCTTGGCTACTGTAAATAATGCTGTTATGAACATTGATGTGCATGTATCTTTTCGAATTAGAGTTTTTCTCTTTTCTGGATATATGCCCAGGAGTGGGATTGCTGGATCAAATGGTAGCTCTATTTTTAGTTTTTTAAGGAACCTCCATGCAGTTTTCTATAGTGGCTGCACCAATTTACATTCCCATCAACAGTGTAGGAGGGTTCCCTTTTCTCCACATCCTCTCCAGCATTTATTATTTGTAGACTTTTTGATGATGGCTGTTCTGTCCAGTGTGAGGTGATAGATACCTCATTGTAGTTTTGATTTGCATTTCTCTAATAATTAGCAATGTCAAGCATCTTTTCATATGCCTGTTGACCATCTGTATGTCTTCTTTGAAGAAAGGTCTATTAAGATCTTCTTCCCATTTTTTGATTAAGTTGTTTGTTTTTTTGATACTGAGCTGCATGAGCTGTTTGTGTATTTTGGAAATTAAGCCCTTGTTGGTCACATTGCTTGCAAATATTTTCTCCCAGTCTGCAGGTTGTCTTTTTGTTTTATTTATGGTTTCCTTTGCTGTGCAAAAGCTTGTTTGATTAGGTCCCATTTGTTTATTTTTATTTCTACAGTAACTGCTGTTGGGAAAGCTGGACAGCCACATGTAAATCAATGAAGTTAGAACACTCCCTCACACCATACACAAAAATAAACTCAAAATGGCTTAAAGACTTAAATATAAGACATGGCACAGTAAAACTCCTAGAAGAGAACATAGGCAAAACATTCTCTGACATAAATCGTAGCAGTATTTTATCAAATCTTAATTTTTCCCTTTGGCTGTCTGATGTTTTAATTTTTACTGTAACTCTTACTTTAGCTATTTTTGGTTCTCAAATACATTTTGACTTCTTAGTCGCTGAAGTTCCAGTAAGGTGAAAAAACTTTAAAATTTAGAAGCATTCCAAACCATTGCCTATTATAAGAGCTTTCAGTCAGATTGTTATATCTCGATGATAAAACCCTCCAAGGTGCCTCCTTAGCATTCTAAAGCATTAGCATCATTAAGGCCCAGAGTGTGCTTTTTTGCATTTAGCTCACTGTGCTTTTCTTTCTTGTTTTTTTTTATTCAGCTGGAATGCTTGCCGACTCCTCTGCAAATTTCTAAGGCTGAGACCCTGAGGAACCCAGCTGGAGAATGCCATCTGAACGCTTCCTCAGGTTGGTACTGTAGGATACGTCTTTGCTTGTGTAGCGAGACATGTGTGACTTGAAATCCTCACACCGCACATTCTAGGACCAAGCACAGGGAGGGGCTCAATGTGTATTTGAAGAATTAAGCAAACCAGTCTGAGAGTGTGTGTGTGAGTTTAGTATGGTAGCACAGGGGCTAACCACTGAGATATAATTACTGGCCAAACTTAGGTATGTTTAAGGATTCTTTGATACTACTTTTTTTTTTTTTTTGCGGTACGCGGGCCTCTCATGTTGTGGCCTCTCCCGTTGCGGAGCACAGGCTCCGGACGCGCAGGCTCAGCGGCCATGGCTCACGGGCCCAGCCGCTCCGCGGCATGTGGGATCTTCCAGACCGGGGCACAAACCCGTGTCCCGCGCATCGGCAGGCGGACTCTCAACCACTGCGCCACCAGGGAAGCCCTGATACTACTTTTTATCTTTTTCTTATTTAGGATGCTAACCTCCCTCAAACAAAAGGTAGATGTGTCTAAAGGTATATGATTTAAAAAATAATCAGAAAACTATACATATATATGATTGTCCCCTTTAAAGCAATCACTTTAGGGTGACTAATATGTATTCTTAAAATACTCATAAGATTTTACTTTAGTACTTATTTAACAGATATTTATTTGTGCAGAGGATCCAGCAGTGAATAAAACAAATAAGGTTCCTGCTCTCATGAAATATATATTCTATGGGGGAAACAGATATTAAACAAACCACACCAGTAACAACACAAATATAATTGTGAAAGTGCTTTGAAAGATTGATAGAATGAGGTAGTACCTTCCTGAAGCAGTACTCTATGACCTGAGATTTGAAGGGTGGGAAAGACATGGGGAAATGCCCTCAGGCAGGAAGGAGCCTGGCACATTCCCAGAACTGAGGGGGCAGTCAATAAGAAAATGCAGGGTATTCCTTTGAATATTCTCAGTGGAGTCAAGTCTTCATCATCCTCGAGGAAACCGTCAAAGGGATCCTCAAAGCAAAGAATGAGAGAGGTGATAAGCCTGGGAAATGCCTTCTTTTTAAATACTAAGAATTGAGTATGTCTATGAAATAATGAGACCAGCTTTCTTCCATGACTCTGAAGCTATTAGAGATGACTAGTTCCAAAAGTGTGTTCAGAAATGGAGGCATTGCTACAGCCAGTTTAGTGCCTCTGTGCTCCCCAAGTGAGTGTTGCTCTAGATGGGTGACTCTCAGTGGGGGATATTTTGCCCTCAGGGTACATTGTGTAATATCTGGCATCATTTTTGATTGTCACCAGGATCGAGGGTGCTATTGGCATCTAGTGGGTAGAGGCCAGGGATCCTGGTCAACATCTTAACAATGTACAGGATAATGACCATAGCAAAAAATGTCAGAATGTCAGTTTCACTGAGGTTGGGAAATCCTGCTCTGGATCTAGCATCCAGCCAGTATAGCACATAGAGACCATGGTATCTGTCTGCCACCAGCTAAGCCAAATGATTTATTTCTGGCTAATAGGATCCATGTGCATTCTTCTCCAAATGATTTTTTACTTTAGATCTGCCATCTCTGCTTTCACTGATCAACTCTGATCCCACCGCCATCTGTCCTCCATAGCACCATCATCTCTGCGATGGACTTTCCTTCTCTGCTGGGACACAGGCACCCCCTTGCGCACTTTTCAAACTTCCCCTGTGCCACGTGGAACTGTTGCACCAGGAACATACATGTGCTGTGCTGTGTCATCTTCCTCACCCTGAAAAACTCCAAGCACCTCCTGCTTTCACTGAGACCTGTCTTCTTCTGAGGCACCACTTCTTTATAGCCTTCTCAAGTGGTGGCCTTATTTCCTCAAATCTCATGTATTTTGGGGATGGGTGGAGAGATTGTTGTCACGCTGGAACATAGTTTTGCTTCTAGGTCATTACTCCTCATACCGGTTGTTTGAGAAGATGTCGACAACAAAACGACAGCAAAGACGGGCTCTTCTGAAGGTGGTGCTCTTCAGCTCTCTCCATCCCTTCTTCCTCTCCACTGTTCGCAGGGCCATCTCCCCGCATTCACTGAGCATTTGACATGTGGCTGACGGTCTTCCTTCTCACCACAGACCCTTTACAATTTCCCAGTGCCCTCAGTGTTTGCCTGGAGGATCTGCCCGACTTTGTGGCCTTGGATCTCCAACCTGCTTCTGACCTTCCTCACTGAACCACCTACTCTCATGGTCACACCGTGGATCACGCATCCCCAGTAGTTGCTCTGTTTCCGAAACTACTGCATCAGCCACTTTATTCTCAGCAGGACCTCCTCTCCTTCTAGCTTCCTGATTTACCTACCTCCACAGTGGTTGTACTTTGACCTCATGGCAATGTCTCATTACTGGCCCGGCCACTTTCTTTCGTTTCTTTTCTTTTTATTAAATTTTTTTGGAGTATAGTTGATTTAAAATATTGTGTTAGTTTCAGGTATACAGCAAAGTGATTCAGTTATACATATATATATATGTATATTCATTCTTTTTCAGATTCTTTTCCCACAAAGGTTATTACAGAGTATTGAGTAGAGTACACCGTGCTATACAGTAGGGTCTTATTGTTTATTTTTTAATTAATTTTTTTTGGTGTGTAGTTGCTTTATAATTGGGAGGTTGAGATTGATATATATACACTATTGATACTATGTATAAAATAAATAACTAATGAGAACCTACTGTATAGCACAGGGAACTCTACTCAGTGCTCTGTGGTGAACTAAATGGGAAGGAAATCCAAAAAAGGAGGGATATATGTATACGTATAGCTGATTCACTTTGCTGTATGGTAGAAACTAGCACAACATTGTAAAGCAACTGGCCCGGCCACTTTCTACCAATCCATCAACACTTTCCTTCCCTTATTTCCATTCTTAGCCAGTTTAGAATCTATCACTCTTTTAAATCCTTAATTTCCCTTGCTCTCTGCATTTTTGATCCATTTGCCTGACAAAATCCCAGCCCAGATGAACCTAAATACTGTGTTTCCATGGCTTCGTTGTCCAGTGGAGATTGGTTCCACTGAATCTTTCGATTCAACAAGCCAAAAAATGCCCAAAGTTTTAATATTCCTTCCCTCCTGCTACTCAAAAGGCAGTCCTTTCCCACAGCTGAGCCCAGCCCCGCTTCTATGTTTTGAATCCTATCTTTCTTCTCAGCAGCCTTTGACTATTGGTTGTCTCTCAGCTGTGTTCTGGAGACACAGCTGTGCTTCCGTTATTCTCTCTATCCGCACGAGTTTTACACCTCTAGCCAAGACCTCTTTCTGAGCTCCAGGTCCTGTACCACGCCGGCGCTTGTCCTCAGGGTCCCAGCCCTGAACATTCTGTGGACTGTGTGTTAGGTCCATGCCCCCCACTGCCACAGGATCAGAGCATTTGCTGTTACCCTACCTGGAAAACTCTGCTGTCCCCATTTTGCCTTGGTAACTTGTTCTCATCCTTCAGCCTGCAGCTCCAGCATTACTTCTTCAGGGAGGCCAGATTATTTTATTAAAGTGTAAGTACCTTGCTAAACTGAGGGTTCTGTGAGGGCTGCTACAGAGTTTGGTTTGTTTACCATTTTATCTCCAGTGTCTGGTCCAATACCTGGCACAGGATGAATAAATGTTTGAGTGAATGAAGGAAGGAAGGAATGCAACAAGACTATCCATTTATATTTAAGTTCCTTTCCTTAAGCATCCATTTGTAATTAACTTGCATAGTCTTCATTATTTCTTGGTTATTCGCTAAGCATAGCGTATTTTCTTTGCTTATTATTTTGTCCATTGTTATTAATTGCTAGCATTAATTTTAAGGTATTTACAAATTACAAAGTGTTCTATAAAAAATAAAATTAAGTTCCATGCTGGGTTTTTTTTTTTTTTTCCTGTACGTGAGCCTCTCACTGTTGTGGCCTCTCCCGTTGCGGAGCACAGGCTCCAGACGCGCAGGCTCAGCGGCCATGGCTCACAGGCCCAGCCGCTCCGCGGCATGTGTCATCTTCCCGGACTGGGGCACGAACCCGTGTCCCCTGCATCGGCAGGCGGACTCTCAACCACTGTGCCACCAGGGAAGCCCCCATGCTGGGTTTTTTCCCACAGCCTGTCTGCTTAAATAAATAAGATTGTTTCAATATTAATGTATTTAATTTGTATTAAAATACTTTGACTGTGGAATTGAAGTGATTAGGGCACAGTTTATCAATAGACTGAACTGAGATAATCATGCATAATCCTAGTACTATCAGGTTTTTTGCCCAGTCCTTTTCTTTTTTGTGTAAAGTAATCTATTTAAGCAATGAGGATCTCTATGCTACTTGACTGTGTTTGATATATAAGTATATAATACCTTATGGGTGAGCTTACTTGAAAACTACCTGCATATATTTTGTATATCTAAATACTAAGTAAACATTGATATAGAAATTGACTTGAATTTTTACATTTGAAATACAGATGTTTAAAAACCAGACAGCTGTTTTGGAATTCATGTCTTGCAAACTGACTGAACTCAGTCAAAATTTATGCTATAAAAAATGAGAATCTGAGAGATTTCTGTGATCAAAAATCTTCACTATGAACTTGAAATAGTGATTTGCACTAACACAGTGCTTCACTGTGAGTGAGCTGTACCATGTTATGAACATTATGTTCTGCATTTGACTTTTTAGTTTTTACCATCAATTCCAGAATGAAAGTTAAAGATTTGAAGTCATGAATAGTCCTGTCCTTGAGACCTCATTTATTTATCTCCCTGTTACTGGATGCTGACATTTGGCCAATCAGATGGTTGCTCCGTGGCATCACTAAAAAGCAATTTCTTGCTCAAGGAGTCTGGGACTTCCCATGTTGTACCTGGCAGAAGCTGGGTCCTGTGAGATTCAGGAACAGCCAGGCTAATTGGCAACCTGATGGGGTACCTGAAACCCTTCTAGAGTTCAGGTGGAAAGAAATGAGGAACACATCCCCAGGGAACTTTTAGACTGTCCCGTAGAACCATAGTGCGAAGTATATATATAATTTAAACTTTTCAAGGAGACACATTTTTTAAAAAGTAAAAAGAAACAGGTAAAATGAATTTTAACAATATATTCTGTTTAACCCAGTATACCCCCAATATTATCAGCATGTAATCAATATAAAAATATTAATGAGATATTTTTGCATTCTTTTATTTCACAGTATGTCCTTGACATCCAGTGTACATTTTCCACTTACAGCACATCTCAATTTGGACTACACACATTTTAAGTTCACAATAGCCACATGTAGCTAGTGGCTATTATACTGGACAGTGCAGTTCTAAGGAATTCCACAGAAGAAAGGGTATTGGGGTTGCCTTGAGGAAGCCAGGTCACCCTCTTGCACCCACTTGTGAATTTTGAGGTGGCATTATTGCTTCCATGGAAGACCTTTCCCAATATTAGGATGACACACAAGTCTGTATACCCTCGGGAAATGTGACTCCTGTTGTATGGAGTTTTTTGTTTGTTTGTTTTCTTGGTAATTTAGGAAGTTTTAGGAATATACTTTTCCTTTCTTCTTCGTTTCCTAAATAATGGAGGGACATTGCTCTAAGGTGGGAGGTTTAGATTGCTAATTTGTATAATTTTGATGCCAAGGGAGCCGTATGCAAGGATGTGTCTGCTTCCCATTCTAATTTAGACATGGTTCATGAGTCTTTGAATCACCTCCTCCCTGGTTTATAATTATTGGCTTTATCACATTGGCCTATGGCTTTCCAGCTGTGTTCTGTGACCGCTTGTGCCTTAACACTTTTTGCAGATTTACATCTGAGAGTTGAGTGGGAAGTTTCAGAATACAGTAATGACCTGTTGATTAATAAGCCTTTATTCCTTGCCAAATGTTGGAGTATTTGTTTCTGCTTTTAAGGAGTCCTAACATATTGGTTCCAAAATATTTGGAATCTTGTGCCAAGTGTTGCCTTAAATATTTAGCATGCTGTTTTCTTTAAGCTTGAATATTTCAAGCCCAACTGAATGATACTGTGAAATTGTGCATCATCACAATTGTTTCAGAGCTGAGCCCTTTATTCTTTGCCAAATTTCAGTTTACAGCTGCTCTTTCCCTGGCAAGATTTATTCGCTGTCTATAGATATCTGAAATGCAAATACTGATTCAGTCTTAATAATAAGGACATGAATTGTGGCTCTATATTTGGGAAATGAGTAAGGAAACATTATAAGCAATTATTTTAATGTATTCTTCTGTTCCACTACAAATGAAATTTCAAAATACATTTATGTAGCATTTAAGGTGATATTAAAAGGGAGAAAAGTTATGAGAGTTTTAAATAAATGTATAAGTAAAATCTATTTTCTCTCCCCAAACTTATCTTAGTCAGTGCAAAGATAAATATTTTTGAAGCATGATTTCAAACATTTCCTATCACTATCTCATGTTATATTAATGTGTATTATTTTTCAAAGGTAACTTTGATTTTGAGATTAACTATGCACAATCTAAATATAAAATTAATATGGACTTTGTGATTTTTTTTTCCCCCAGCATAGATTTTTGAGATCTTCTTTACAGATTATCATTTTTTGGTTTTGTTTCAGGTTTTGTTTGTTTCTTTTATTTATTTTTTATTTTTTATGTTTAAAATTTTTTTGGCCACGCGGCATGTGGGATCTTAGTTCCCTGACCAGGGATCGAATCTGTGCCCCCTGCATTGGAAGTGTAGAGTCTTAACCGCTGGGCCGCCGGGGAAGTCTCTGTTTCTTTTATACTTTAAGCAGGAGGACAAATTACATTATTATGTTCATGGTAATAGGTTCTCAAAATGCCTAATCTTGCACCATCAGGTTTCTTATCTGTGAAATGGAGATATTAGTACCTGCCTCATAATGTTGTTATGAAGATTAAATGAATTGATAATTGTATATCGCTAAGAATAATTCATGGAACATAGTAAGGGCTTTGTGTTTGTAAAATATATAAAAATGTCATCCTTTTAGGAAGGATTTTTCAAAGACTATCCTAAAGCTTACTTAGCTGAGATAATATTTCTATTACTGTTCTATTCCCTCATTTCTTTGAGCTATGCTAATTAATCTCCATTCTAGCCTTTGCCTAGCAATTTGTGTGTTATTTATGCTTCTGAGTGTAGTTTTCAATTACTGACTTTAAAAGTCTGCCTGTAGCTAGAGCTGCTAGATGAATATTCGATGACAGTAACCATTTCAAAACTCACTGCTGCATTTCAACTGAAAATAATCCTCCCACCTTCCCACGAGAACTTACTATATCATCATCTCCTGTCAAATTTATTTTTTCTTTCAATAGTTCTGACATTTTTGAGGCTCCCCAGTCGAAAGTGTCCGATAAAGCTTACTGGCTGCACTCTGGCATTTCCCGGGAAGCATTTGGTTTACTTTAAGGTGATTTATGCTGAACCGTAATTTACCAGCCAACTGGCGGCACAACCGTGCAGGCTCGGCTGGTGGCGACTCCCGGGCTCTCCTGAGAGGCTCTTTCACATTCAGAGGAAGGAACCGGATGTCGAGTTATCAGGACGGGAGAGACAGTGCTCGTTCATCCTTAGGGCAACCTTACTCGGTTTCAAGAAGAGTCGCAGGCCAGAAATAGAGCTTGATGGCCCTTGCTCTCATTCTGGGAGTAACTTATGACTGGTGCAGCTCACTCATTTTAGTCCAGTGTCGGTTCTGAGATTCTAGAGTGCCGTGGAGATTTTCATGTATCTAAGCTGGAATTGTTCATAACTATCCACAAATTCCGCTTGCATTTGGTGTTTATAGCATTACTTCTACATTATTATAGGAAGATCTGGTGTTTCACCCAAGAGTTTTGAAAGGATATGGGATGAATATTTTAGATTGGGGTAGGGAGTGAAGGGATAAGTTTCACAATGGGTAAGTTTAGTAACTTCACAAAATAGAGCAGAAAATAGATTGCACAGTCATTCATAAGTCTAATATGAAGATGACACAAGATATTGCAGGCTAATAAGATAGATATATTTTACTTTCAGCCTTAAATTTTTTCTTTACAATGGATCTCTTTTGATGTTCTCCTGGTGGTGCATAATTTCCTAAGTTTAATAATAAGCCACTATGGTTTAATTAATGGCCTTTTACATGAAATGGTCACTGGTAGCCTTTTTTTCCTCTAACTAACATCTGCTCAGTTTCATTTTATTTATTAATGGAGTATTGTGTCTTGTGGGGAGACTGAGTAAATTCTTCTCTGGTGAGCCATGCAGTGGGTTCTGTGCTAGAGCAGTGCATGGCAAGTTCTGAGCTTGTGCTAACCCCACACAGGTGGTACAAAGCTAGAAAAGGAATCAGAGAGCTAGGGAGGGGGTCCCAGAGTGGAAGGATTTGCACACATATTTACACACATCTAGACACACATCCAGAAAAAGCTTTGCACTCAGAGATATATACATACTGAGGGGACAGGGGCCCAGAAGCAGAGGCTCACAGGCCTGCAGACATGGGCCAATACACAGACACAGATGGACACACAACAAACACAAATTCTCAAAGAGAGGGACCAGTAGGAAGGAGAAAGAAATCCTGTTGGGGGGCGGAAGAGAGAGAATTAGAGAAAAAGAAAGCAAGAGGATGGTGGAGAAAAAGACAATGAGGACTACAGACACTGGAATCCACACTCCCTGAGTTGCTCTTGAAGGAGGGAGGGAGCCTGGGGGCGGCTGGGCTAATGAGAGGAACAACATTAACTGGATTGCTCTCTTCACTCTCCTCCTCGCAGTATTCAAGAAATGCTGACAGGCCAGAGGCTCTGCCACTCAGAATCTCACACTGATAGCGTCCTGGCAGCGCTGAATCAGCAGAGAAGTGACGGCATCCTCTGCGATGTCACCCTGATTGCTGAGGAACAGAAATTCCACGCTCACAAGGCAGTCCTAGCAGCCTGCAGCGACTACTTCCGGGTAAGTCAAGGTAGTTTGTTTGTTTATTTGTTTCTCTTAAGATATTAATAAACAGAGGATGACAGTTTACCTGAACTGTCACACAATCATCAGCCAATTAGATAATCGTCCCCAGAGTTGTGAATGTTGGGGGGTTTTCCTGGTCAGACTGAGATTGGGGCCCCATTGGGATCCTCCCTGGGCTGGACACCTGGATGTCCCTCCAGTGGAGAGCAGAGCTCTCCTTTGCATCTGAGCTGAGGGGCGTTTGACACTCTACCACCAAAAGAAAGCGTGGCATTGTAGTGCACCATAATGGGGGTGCAGGCTGAGGACAGGATGTTTCTGGTTTCAGGATCAGAAGGACAATCTGTAAGACAATTTATTTCTTAAAAGGTCTCTAAATATATGTAGTGTTTCTAATTTTTTATTTTCTATGGAAGTTCTTGTCCTGGAGCTTTCCAAGTCTCTGCTCCAGGGACAGAGATGGAATTGACCTAAAGGATATTTGTGGTTGACGCACAGGTGCCTGTTTAGCTGAAGACGTTGTCTTGTTAAGTAGAACTTTGGAGTTTGATTTCCAGTGGCTAACGATATGTGATGATGTGTTTGTTGTTTTTTGAAGGTGAGTGTATAGTATGGTTTTAGCTAAATTTAATTTAATTTAGTATTTCCTACGATTCAGGTCATGGACAGAGGACTTTATATACATATCTCATTTAATCCTCACAGCAATCCATTTTATAAACACATGCACATGCTATAAAAATCACCATTTTACATGTAAGGAAACTGAATCTCAAAGATTAGGTAATTTGAGGTAACTCAGAGGTTAAGTAATAAGTCACACAGTTCCGAAGTGGCAGATCTACAATTGAAATCCATGTCTGAATCTTAACCAGCATTCCATTCTACCCCTTATATGGATATAAGAAAGAAAATTATGACAATTAATAACCAGATTTTTTTGAAGTATTAATTTCTGAATATACATGATTTAATTCTTATTTAATTTTTTCAATGTTATTTCAGTTAACTAGTGATTAGGTAAGAAATTCAAAACATAATAGTATACAATCTCTATATAAATTAGAATATAAATTTAATTGTGAATTAAAAAAACTTTCTCTTACCAAAGTCTCAAATGATACAGAAACCAAATCCAGCCTGGGGCAATTTTTTGGTTTGATTTGGAAATTTTCAATAGTCACCTTGTATTTTGATGTTTAAGAGACAATATCAACTGTACTCAATTGCTGACTAGCAGTTAAAGAGAATTTTCAAAGATGCCAAATCGTAAAATAAAGATTAAAAAAAGTTTTAAATGTGATGAAACCTGGTAATGTAGAAGATAAAGAGGTAATTACAGGGCTTCCCTGGTGGCGCAGTGGTTGAGAGTCCGCCTGCCGATGCAGGGGACACGGGTTTGTGCTCCGGTCCGGGAGGATCCCACATGCCGCGGAGCAGCTGGGCCCGTGAGCCATGGCTGCTGAGCCTGCGCGTCCGGAGCCTGTGCTCCGCAAAGGGAGAGGCCACAACAGTGAGAGGCCCGCGTACTGCAAAAAAGAAAAAAAAAAAAAGAGGTAATTACTTAAAATATCTATCTAAAATTAAAAGTAGGGATTTACATAATTCTAAACTGCAGAAATGAAGTGGAGTATCTGTAAAGTGACCTTCTAGTTTCATCAATATAATGTACATTTTATACACTCTCACATTGTCAGGGATTAATCTTCCAGAAAGCTTATATTATTTGGAGGGCTTTTGAAACAACATACTTTGGGTTGTTATATATAACATGTGCACATTATAAAATACAAGTTTTTTCTTCTTGTGGACCATAATATAGACCTCTTGGTGCTTGGCTTCTCTCCTCCTAGGTCTCTGTGGGTTGGATTTTGAATTTAATTTGGGGTTTGATTTTGTGCATGTGTGTATATGAGAGAGAGAATGTGCAAGTGAATGCATACATGTGAGCACTGAAGAGCATTTTATTTGCTGCTGGCATTTAACGATGTTTGCAGCTATTCCAAGTTATTCACCTCTTTTACCACAATGCCCCTCATACTCTGATAGGTCGTGCACAGAGTGCCTCCTTTAAAATACTGGTGTTATAAAGCCTGTGAAGAAAGCTTTATTATTCCCGTTCTGTAGATAAGGAAACTGAAGTGCAATATGTTTAAATAACTTGCCCAAGGACTGCCAGATATTAAGTAGGAGAGCTGATTTTCACACACCAGAGCACCTGTCTCCTTGAGTACCAAGTTGTGCTTTTTCCACTGAACCATGTGCCCTGCTGGATTCATATGCAGTCCCTTCAATCTCATGACCTGCTTGTGAGGTGAAATTTCAGTGACTTGTGTATTAATTGTTCAGATGGAGAAACCAAGACAGAGTTGGAACTCTTGGCACTTATCTCTTTTCTAGGCATTGTGATAAGTGCTGAAGTTATAATATTTAACCAGACATAGGCTGAACCCTATGGAGCTTGTAATATAGTCACTATACTGGACATTGTTTTTGCCGTATACCCTGTATCTTTTGTTAGCTTTTGTCATAACAAACCACCCCAAAACTTAGAAGCTGGATGGTAGCTCCTCTGGTCTGCCAGTTTCTCTGATATATGCTGGACTCATTCTTACGTCAGCGGTTAACTGGAGAGTTGCCTGGAGACTGGATGATCTGAGTTGACCTTGTTTACCTGTCTGGTGATTGGTAGGCTTATGGCTGGAGTTGTAGGGACACTGGGCATGTATTTCTCACAAACAGGCTAGCCTGGGCTTTTTCACATGACAGCTAAATTCTAAAAACAGCAAGAGGGCTATCTTCAATGCACAGGTGCTTTTCAAGCTCCTGTTTGTGTCCTGTTTACTAATGTCCCATTGGTCAAGCAAGTCACGTGGCCAGGCTGAGTCAGTGTCAGTGAGGATACCACAGGGCATGGATGCAGGCAGGGGAAGAATTTGTTGCCATTTTTGTAACCTACCACTGTCAAGAACTGTCAAAGATTTGTGATTTATCCAAGTTGGAAACCAGCAATTTAGTCTATCACTGGTTCAGAGATGCTGCTAGAAGACGTGAAACTCTTAAGTCACACAAAGTGGGTTGGATCATTGAGGATCATTGAGCTTAGGGAACCTGAATCTTTTATAATGCGTAGGAAACACGTCTGTCCTTTGCTCTGGAAGAAAACATTATTATACTGGACAGTAAGCATGCCTACCCTTTGCTCTGCAAAGAAACATTCTATCTCTGAGTAAACAGAACTGCTCTTTGCTCTGAAGGGAGATATCACTCTGTCATCAAGGCCATTTGCTATAGAAACATCCCTGAAATGAGAGTTCAGAACAAGGACAGTCAGTGCCTCACTCATAATACATGCAGAAGTGCAAGAGACCCATGCCTTAAACTAGAATTATGTCTGGCTTCCTTGTGTCTTACACTCTACCACACTGAAACATCTAGAAACAGTATCCTGTCTGAGTAATTTCTGTATCTCTCACAACACTTATAATGTTGCCTCAGGCTTAGTAAGTATGAATGAAGAAATGTTTTCTAATTCTCAGAGAATTCCATGTGTATTTCAATTTTTTAACATCCTGCATATAAAATATGCAAATTATTCATGGATTTTTCTTTCTAGTGTGATCTGTTCAAATTAATTAGGTAGTCTGACCTAAATAGATGTTTGTACTCTGTATTCTGATATCTGGCAGATTATATTGAAGCTAAAATAATTGTGGATGGCACAAGTTTTGTGTAAACTGTTCCTTTACATTGATCTGAGAGATGGTATCAGCTTTTCTTGCTTAACATATGAATAACGAACAGTTGAGCACAAAGTACTGTGGATTCCTGTGATCATCAGCATTTTAAATGAAAGGGCTAAAACACATTCTTCAGCCAAGTAATAATGATTTAAAAAAAAAATTAAATTTAGGCTTAATATCAGCACAACATGGTGTTAGTCAAAAGCTATAATTGTGTTAGACCAGGGGCTTCTTTTGTAAGAGTAAAGCAGTGGTGGAAGGAAGAAAGGGAAGAGCTAAGCGTCAGATCTGAGTTTGAATACAGTGGGAGGGACCATATCTCCCTGTTTGCTATTGTTTCCCACAGTCCCTGACAAATAGTGGATGCTATTCTAATTAATATCTGTTGGGTTATTCACCCTCTTCACTATTTATTCTTTGAGCATAGGCAAGTCATTTGACTTCTGTAAACCTATGTTTTTTCATCTGTAAATTGGTGATCATAGAGCATAACTCTCAGAATAGGTTGATTCAGAGATTAGATTGAGATAAGGTACATAATGCACTAAGTGCTATATCTGATGCACATCACACCTTCAGTAAGCATTATCTGTTTCTCTCCTTGGGCTAACTTGGGATCCCTGGTCATGCTCTGTCTGGCCCTTTGTGGGAAAAGAAGACTGCTCATCTTTAGGCTCATCTGGTTGCAGACTCCCTCACCTTTTGATGGGTCAGAATAGCGTTTTGGATTCATCCTTTTCCATCTTGACATTTTCTGAATCTGATACCCCCTTCCTTCTTGCTTAGAACATTCTAGTAGCCACTTAACTTTCTCCTCCTCTGGTTGTCCCTTGACAAACCATCGCGCAGATGACTGTATGGTGAACTTTCACCCCCCTGCTCAGGTCCCCCAGAGCTCCTCAAGGCCTTTCTGCCAGACCCCCGGAGTGTGCCTTCATGCTGTGTCATTATCATTCATCCTCATCTGTGTTCTCCCATCTGTTCATTTGATCTTGCAGCCATAACTGTTCTCCAAACACTCTCTTCCACCTGAGGGCCTTTCCACCTCTCAGCCTTGCTAATGACCATTCCTTCTACCTTAACCTCCTACTCACCTCTTTGTCTACCTTGTCCATCTTCCAAGGTTTATCCCAGCCAACAAGTGTGAAGTCTTCCACAAAGCCTTATCCTGTCCACCCTCTGCCACCTCTCTAAATTCATATGCAAGGTCCCTCTTTTCTGAAGCATTATAACTGTAGCTTGTCTCACCCA